TGATTGTCTGCCTCCCACTTGCACCCAACTATGTGCCCTGATCAGGAATTGAACCTGCCACCTTTCAGTTTATGGGACAATGCTCCAACCAACTGATCCACACCAGCCAGGGCTAATTAGCTGGTTTTTAAAAGAAATATTTTTATTGACTTCAGAGAGGAAGGGAGAGGGAGAGAGAAATAGAAACATCATTGATCCACCACCTCCTGTATACCCCACACTGGGGATAGAGCCCACAATCCAGGCATATGCCCTGATCAGGCAGGAATTGAACCATGACCTCCTGGTTCATAGGTCAACACTCAACCACTAAGCCATGCTGGTAGGCCAATTAGCTATTTTTTATTGTGAGCTTTTATTCATTTGCCACATTTATTTGTGAGCAAAAGTTAAATTTTTATTTTGATAGGGCCATATTACTAGTATCTCTGATGATATTCTTCAGTAAGTCAACAAGTATTTTGTGAGCACCGTCTGCTAAGAAGTGTGTATTATAGAAATAGTAGAGGCCTGGTGCACAGAAGCACTGCTGCTGAGTCGGGAGAGCTCCTGCAGCCACAGATGCGTTCGCCAACCGTGAGCCCAGCTTCTGGCTGAGCGGCGCTCCCCCTGTGGGAGTGCACTGACCACCAGGGGGCAGCTCCTGCGTTGAGTGTCTGCCCCCTGGTGATCGGTGCGCATCATAGAGACTGGTTGACCAGTCGTAATGATCACTTAGGCTTTTATATATATATATAGATGGATGGCCAATGAACACTATCCTCATGGAGCCTGTCTTGTACAGTAGATAGAATAAGTATATTGCCACAATATGAAGTAGAGTGTGATGTCTTCAAAGAAACACAGTGCCTGGATGTTCTAAAGGAGCAATAATTACTAAGAAGAATGAAGCAAATAAACATTTATTAAAAGCCTGTTATTTGGCAAGCAATAAAGAGCTTTCACAGACATTATTGCCTTTGATCATCAGGACAACTTTGTAAGGAAAGTTATCATTATCCCCATTTTATTGATACAGAAATTAAGCTTAAGTAATTGACAAATTATCACACAGAAAAAGTTGACATTTGAACCCAGTTCTGCCTAATTCCAAAGCTCTTTCTCTACTATATATATTACTTGTTGCAGGAATGAGTAAGAGAAGGCTTGATGGAGAAAGTGGCATATGAACAAGTGTCTTGTTCGATAGGTAGGTTTAAGATGGGAATCACAAATCCATGCCTGGTATTTTCCTCAACTGAGGGACTGATAGGTATTAAATCTACTATCAAGAAATCGTTTTGGGGAGAATCCAATATGGCTGCAGAATAGGTGGAAGCTACACTCACCTGCTCCAGTTCCAAACTGGATTTACAGCTAAATTATAGAGCAATCAACTTGAATAACCAACTGAAAGCTAGCTGAAATGAAATATAAGGATTTACAGAAGAAGCCACATAGACACTGGTAAGAAGGGTGGAGATGCAGAAAGGACAGGCCCCAGAACCCACATGCGACAGGTAAGAAGCTTGAGGGATAGCTCAGCTACAATACCCTTTCTCTCTGAAATCAATAAAAATATATATTTTTTAAAAAGTGGCAACATCCACATCACAGGGGTACCAGAAGAAGACGAGAGTAAGCAAGGCACAGAGTACCTGTTTGAAGAAATAATGGATGAAAACTTCCCTAACCTGGTGAAGGAAAAAGGTACACAAATTCAGGAAGCACAGAGAGTCCCAACCAAGAAGACACCCACACCAAGACACATCATAATTAAAATACCAAAGGTTAAAGACAAAGAGAGAATCTTAAGGCCATAACAAGAGACAGAAAAGGTCACTACATAACACTAAAGGGATTGATCCAACAAGAGGATATGACTCTTGTACACATATGCACCCAACATAGGAGCGCTAAATATATGAAGAAAATATTCATGGACATATGGACACTGAGAGATCACAACAATATAATCACAGTAGGGGATTTTAACACTCCACTGATGCCAATGGAGAGATCTTCCAGACAAAAAAAATCTACAGGGAACAGCAACCTTAAACACTACACTGGATCAGATGAATATAATTGATATTTACAGAACATTTCATCCCAAAGGAGCAGAATATACATTCTTCTCAAGCACACATGGAACATTTTTGAAGATAAACCACATGTGTTAGGACACAACATAAGTCTTAATAAATTCCTGAAGACTGAAATCATATCAAGCATCTTCTCTGATCACATTGGTCTGAAACTAGAAATCAACTACAATTAGAAAATTGAAAAACATTCAAACACCTGGAGGCTAACTAGCATGTTATTAAACAATGAATGGGTTAACAATGAGATGAGTGAAGAAATAAAAACTTCCTGGAAATAAATGAAAATGAGCACAAAAGAACCCAAAATCTATTGGACACAGTAAAAGGAGTCCTGAGAAGGAAGTTCATAGCATTAAAGACCTACCTTAAGAAACAAGAAAAATCTCAAATAAACAAGCTAACCCTACAACTAAAAGAATTAGGAAGGGAACAACAAGAAAAGTCCAGAGTAAGTAGACAGAAGGAATTAATAAAGATCAGAGCGGAAATAAGTGACATAGAGACTAAAAGAACAATATAAAAGATCAATGATGAACCTTCAACCACACTCACTAAGAAAAAAAGAGAGAAGACCCATATAAATAAAAACAGAAACGAAAGAGAAGTAACAACTGATGTCACAGAAATACAAAGGATTGTAAGAAAATAGTATGAACAACTATATGACAACAAATTGGACAACCTGGGTGAAATGGACAAATTCCTTGAAACAATCTTCCAAAACTCAATCAAGAAGAATCAGAAAACCTGAACAGGCTGATAACAACTAATGAAATGGAAGCAGAAATCAAAAGACTCCCAGCAAACAAAAGTCCTGCAACAAATGGCTTCACAGGTGAGTTTTATCAAACATTCCAAGAAGAACTAATACCTATCCTTCTCAAACTACTACAAAAATTCAAGAGGAGGGAAGACTTCCAAGGTCTTTTTCCAAGCCAGCGTTATTCTAATTCCAAGACCAGACAAAGAAACTACAAAGAAAGTTACAGGCCTGTATCCCTCAATAGAATATTAGCAAATCAGATCCAGCAATACATTAAAGAGATCATATACCATGGCCAAGTGGGATTTATTCCAGAATGCAAGGCTTGTATAGTATCTGCAAATCAATAAACGTGATACATTACATAAAAATGAAGGGAACTCTGGCTTTTCAGTCAATTGTTTTTCTCTTACATGTAACAGTATTAATTCACTCCCACTCCCTCCATTTAAGATTTGCTCATTGCTTTTTAATATATCACTCAAAATTATGTCATTTATATATCATGCTAGAATTTGTTCATATGTTCCTTAACTGTTACTTTGAAATCTTACTTTTCAAGGATCTTTACAATTATACCTTCTTCTATTTTTCAGTACTTCAAAGCATGGATCAGCAGTACAACTCAAGCTGATCGATGTCCTCTATAGAAGCTGTAACAGCTTTCCTGTCTGTGCTGTTACTCTTTCCTGTTTGAGATGCCTCTTTCAGTGCTCTCCTCTTTAAACCCTACCTGTTAACCGAAGCTCAGCTTAAATCCCCCCCAAAAGCTTACTTAACTATCCTCAGTCCTACTGCTCCTTATTTTCTCTGAATGTAGGTAGCACTGCATTCCCTCAAAACACATAGAATTTAATTATGTTTTTAATTATTTCTACAAATGCTAGCCTGTGTGGTACTTGAGTTAGGGACTATTATTTATACAGTTCTTACTTTCTGCAGTCTTAGGCACTACAGAGTGACACAACTGAAACAGCATTAAGGAGATGAAGGTGAATGTCCTGACCGTGTATTGAGGAGTTTTGAACAAGTTCTTGGGAAAACAAGCTCTCTGATGCCATCCTATATTTCTCATGGCATAAATAGTGCTACGTGAAAGGAAAGCTAGCAAAACATCCTGAAGAACATTGGCTTGTAATTCATAAGATATCAGGTCTGTCACTAAGATGAAAATATGCACCTCAGTGCTTCAGATTGTCTATCATGATGATGTTTTGTTTTTGAAAGCTTAGGATAGTACCCTGCTATAAAATAAATGTGAATGCCAACTTTCAATAAAGCAACTGCGATCGATTACAGCATGCAGGTCACCAACAATAGATACCAGGGTGTAGTAGTAAAATATAAGTCTGTGTATAGTTTCACTTATCAATTTAGGTAAAGAGAATACTTTGTCTCACTATTACTGCACTGGTAAGTGAGGCAACTAGAATTAAGGGAGAAATGAATATAAAGCACAGATGCATGAAAACAACAGATGCCAAATCAAGTTAAGTCAACAAATGTTTATCTAACATTTTATCTACAGGGAATCTAAAATAAGTGAGTATTCCCTCAGTAAACTTTCATAACTTGATGGACCATACAACGCTGACAAAACTTCTGATTTACTGATTATGTAAAATACAGTTTGAAGGTTCTTTTTCATTGTAATTCTTTAAATATTAGCATCAGCCCTAACTGGTTTGGCTCAGTGGATAGAGCGTCCGCCTGCAGACTGAAAGGTCCCAGGTTCGATTCTGGTCAAGGGCATGTACCTTGGTTGCAGGCACATCCCCAGTTTGGGGTGTGCAGGAGGCAGTTGATCGATGTTTCTCTCTCATCGATGTTTCTAACTCTCTATTCCTCTCCCTTCCTCTCTGTAAAAAAAAATCAATAAAATATATTAAAAAAATAAAAATAAATATTAGCATCAGTGGACAGTGATATTATTCAGAACCTGGATTTGCATCAGTCTGAAGCATGGCCCGTAGGCTAACTATGAGAATAGAAAAAAATAAAAAGGGCTCTTTCTCGGTGAAAACTCCCTTCGTTTACACCCCAAATTGGTGAAATGTCTGATCACATCAGTACCGCATCATCTCCAAAACAAAAAATAAGCCCAGCCATTGAAAGCATCTTGAAAACCACTTAGTAATTCAGAAACTTACATTTTAAAAGTTACCTTTAGGCAGAGGTAACTTTGATTCCTCATTGCCCTTCCTTGTGAGTGTACTTCACTTGTTCATCAAGCTGCAGGCAGAGTGGAGTGGTAGAGCGCTGATCCTGTTGTCACTGGAGGCTGTTACTAGCTGCACCGATCGAGCTCATTGCTGCACACACGCTCTTCGGAGTTCCCGGCCACGGAAAGCATTTCTGTAAAGAGGCCAACATCACCTCCTCTTTACCTAGGAACCCCGGCACCGAAAGCGTGCATAACCCAGGAACGATGTCGTCACCAAGGGAGGACACGAATAGAACCCAAATCCCTCGACTCCCCAGCTTGTGTTTCCCACTAATTGTGCTCCTTCCTTTCGGCTCACTCCAAGGGCAGCAGGTGTCCAGGGCTGGAGCAGGGAGCGGGCGCCGATAAGCCGGGCCCGCGAGGTGGAGGCTGCGCTCAAGTTCCCCAGGAGCCGCGCTTCGGCGCTGCCCTTTGTTCTGGCCGAGAACCATGAAAGCGGCGGCCACCGTCAACCCCCGGGACCAAGAGCTGGAACTAGGTACTGCCAGTTGTGGCAACTCTCTCTTTCTCATGTTCAGGCCTTTCCTTTTTAGCCTCTCCCTTCCCGCCAGCCCGACACGCTGCCCCCTCCGCCCCCCGCGTCTGCCCGCCGCACTCACTGCGGGGTGTCCCCCGGGCGGCTGCGCTGCGCGCGCCTTTAGCCTGAGCCCGAGCCCGCGTCCGGTCCTTAGGATGCGCGCTCGGGGGCTTCCTAGCGGCGCGAGCGTTTTTCGCTGGAAAATGCTAGTCGCGCATTACGAATGTGTTGCAATGGTTAGGAACGTGAGAGGTGGGAACCGGGTCAGTGCAGCTTCTCACGACAAAGCGGCCTTTAGACAGTAAGCATGGAGCCCTTCTCTCCAGCTGCGCGCCTCACGCAGCGCAGCCATCCTCGGGGCAGCGACCTCCCCGCGGAGGACGCCTTGCAAAGCGCGCGTGTTTACACTCTTCCCCGACCTGGGGGAGGAGACAGGCGCTCCAGGACCCCGGGGGATTCCTAACCGTTGC